TAAAGCCCCCCCCCCCCCCGCCAAGTAAGAAGTTTGTATACATAATATATCTATTCAACTATAAAGTTTTAGTTTGTACTTTGTATGAATGCATCAGTGAAATGTATAGACACGTTCGCTGTTTTGGACTTAACCACCGGAAACGAAGTGGATAAGAACTTGTATTTCACAGACTTACTTCTTGCAGCCAGACGATCGATGTACGATAACAGTTGACTTTTAGCTACACCTGGATCTCCCATTAGTAAAACATTGATGTTTCCTGAAATACAATAATATCACATATGAACACTACTCACGTGAACCATGACAAAGCCATGCTGGTAGTCTATTTGCTTGCAGGCGAAGGATACCACGCCAGACGGGCGCCATAGTTAATTAAATTACGAGAAGATCAATCCCGTAAACTGTACATTTACTAAAGAGCAAGAATAGACATATTAAAATTAAATTATTACAAGAAGTATTGGTTGTCTCAAAAATCATGCTATTCTGAAAGATCTTTCCAGCTTTAGGGTCTTCTTTACTAAAATGCGGAAATCCTGATTCTTGAACCTTCGGAAGAGCAAAAATTACAATAAATATTTCCTTGATTTCTTTCTTTAACAATCATAAAATTCTCTTTAGGCATACATTGTTCTGTAAATATTTTTGCCTGGTTACAACCTAGTATATCACGTTTACCACCTATTACCATTCGTTCAGGATATCTATCAACACCTTCGTTAGGAAAGGATCAGGGTTAAGATTAGGTTAGAATTTTGATTAAAAAAATTATAAAGAATAGTTCCCTCTGGTGAGAATGCGGTTGTTCAAATGTTACCTCTTATTTTCATTCCTTCAGGAGATCTATCTACACCACCGACCAGCAACAACAATAAAACTTTCTTAATATCTTCATGACCGTAAATTTCAGGCGCCAAGGAGCATGCCAATTTTTCGTAGAAATCAGGCTCTATTTAATAGTGATTTTAACATGAGTGAGAATTTTCCGTAGAAATCTCGCAGCCCCTCAAAAAAACAGGGTTACTCATTTAAGATTTTGTTGGCATCTCACCCGATTGAATAATAGTTGAAGGGTATTGTATTGAAGCCGCAAGTTCGATTCCTGCCAGAGGCTTAAAGTTACATTCTTCGCAGCTGTTTCTGGTTAGGTTTAATAAATGTATATAGAATTTCCACTCGATAATTTCCATCTACAAAACTCTTCAACTATTATTCAATCGAGTGAGATGCCAACAAAATCTTGATATTTACCCATAACCTATACATGACAATACCCTATAGTATATAATATATATATATATATGAAATTGTGGTTAGAGCTCGACAACTGGCCTCTGTAGCTCAGTTGGTTAGAGCGCTGCACCGGAATCGCTGGGTCATAGGTTCAATTCCTGCCAGGGACCTCGATAATTTCATCTACAATACCCTTCAACTTACTGATTTAACTAACTCTTCAGAACCTACGTTTATATTTCGTCATTTCTTCGACCTAACGCAATGTAAAGGTTGTTGTCGATGGAAATTCCGTAGTGTTTGATTCTGTAGGTCGGTTGTGAGAGCGCTGCACCGGCACACTGTGACATATTTCGTTATCGTAATGTTTGATTCTGTAGCTCGGTTGTGAGAGCGCTGCACCAGCACACTGACATATTTTGCAATTTCTCCTATTTTCACTACGGGCGGTTTTTTCAAAGCCCGATTAGCAGTGCCGGATTAACCATATGGCAGAAGCGGCATATGCCACGGGCCCCGCGCTTTTGGGGCCCCGCGCTTCTCTCTTCTATTTTTTTTCTGAATTTTTTGTTCCCTGTCTCAGCTCGTGGCCCAAACAATGCGCCAGTGCGGGGCCCCAAAGAGCCCAAGTTGTCGAGAATTGCCCCCTGATAGTTCTCAACACAATACGTTTTAGTTTTCTTTAGTTTTAATAACGTTTATACGCACTATAAATCTCTCACAACACGCTGTCTCAAAATTGTTTCACAATCACAAAAACAAATACCGGTATATTCCGGAACTTTCCGAGAGGGTTCAGTTCGGACTCGCGCGTCCCACGCGTAACAAAGCATAATATATTATTATATGACAGTTTTCGACAAAGTCCCCCAGAAAACACGAGGTCCCAAAAAATCAGTCCCAAATGTTTTCTTTTTCTTCCCTGTTTTAGTGTTTCAGCGCGGGGCCCCAAAGAATCCAAGGTCCCCAGAAAACGTTATAGGCCCCCAAGATTTAAAAATCGAGGCCTCAATTGCGGGCCCCCAAACGATTATTTTGTTCCCTGTTTTAGCGCGGAATCCAAACAGCGCGGGGCCCTAAAGAGTCCAAGGCCCCCAAAAGCAAAACCCCAAACTAAAAAAACCGCGAGGCCCCAAAGTTAAAAAAGGCGAGGCTCCAAAAGCAGGCCCGCGAACACAAAATTTTTTGTTCCTTCTTTGGGCAAGAGGGTTCAGAAAATTTCGAAATTTGCAGCAAACTGTTAAATACTAAAAGATCGCTGAAGTTCGTGGAAGGCGGCAGAAGTTTATATGGGGGCTATCATGTTTAGCTATCTTTACCCTGTAAATAATAATGTTAATGGTATAAGTTAGAGTTATAAACCGAGAAGGAGGTTTATAACTGATATATTGCCCCCGAGGACGCGTAGCGTCCGAGGGCAATATATCAGTTATAAACCGACTTTCGAGGTTTATAACTAACTTATATCTCATTTGTGGAGGTTTTCTAACATATTTTGTCATTTTCAAAAATTTTTGATGAAAAATTCTCGCGTTTTGTCGAAAAGTTTGATGTAATTATTTATTCAAGGTATATTAGCTAGTTATAAACCTCGGACGATCAAAGAAAACCGACACAAATGAGATACTGTATAAACCGGGTTAAATTTCAGTTCGATCAAAATATTATATTGATGTATAATTCTTTCTCTTTTTGTAAATACACAGGAAACTTTTCAACGCATGAAATACAAAATGATATTTTTTAATCTTACTGAATTCAGGATTTAAAATGCCGTTCGGCCGGTTGGGGAGGGGGGGTCAAGGGGCCCCGCTCCAATAATATGCCACAGGCCCCGCGGAACGTTAATCCGCCCCTGCCGATTAGTAATCCTGGTTAAAATTTAACATGCTGTTTTGGTTTGTACATTTATGCATATCTGTTTATTTTAAAACTTCAAGTAACAACAGATTAACTCAACTTAAACGGTTTTCTGTTAAAACGATTGTTTTAGTCAAGTTTTACCTTCGGAGAGATTTACAATTTCCTCATCGCTCAATTGTTCTTCGGTAATTTCTTCATCTTCTGTTTTGTTCATTTTCACAATTCTCTGCACAGAACAATAAAACATACACTTAATACAGTGCCTGTACATTTATTTTTCAAGGGTAAAGCTGGAGGTGCTATTCATCCTACGAGAGAATAACACTCTATTTTATGAACCTACACGGCTTTACTTAAATACAGTAATGAAGCAGCGTTGTTTTTCCATTTTTGGCGGCAGTAACACGGCCAACACGGCCTTCTAGCTAAGAACCTGGACTACATGTGCACGACCTACTCATTTTCGGTATAGACGAGTGCGTAACTCATTAAATATTGTGAAAATGCGAGCAGCATGAAAAAACTTGCAATACATTAGTAAAGCATACATACATGTGCTTCAAGGAAGGTGTCTGACATGAGACCTTGTGTCATGCGCATGAACCCAGTTCTCATCATAGGTAGAAATATTCCAGTGATGGCCACATGATCCCCAGGAACAGCCAGTCTGGCGAGTTCTCCTCTGGCTATGATGGTCATTGATCGTGGTATGTTACCCACTGGGACCTGATCGCTGTGTTCTTGAACTTTCAGTTCTTGACATTTTAGGAATTTTGATCCTCGTGTTTGTAGGTAAAGTCGTCCGCCAGATCTGAAGAAAATAAACGCTGCTTGTCACGCGCGTGTTTTTAAGCCAGTTTACATTTTGCTGCGATTTCTACACAAGTAAAAACGCACAAGTTGTTACAAGTCTGCAAACAAGTTGTTACAAATCTGTTCACAAGCTTTCGACAAGCTGTGTTCGCACTGCTTGTTCCTAGTTGTTGTAACTAGATTGGAACAAGCTGCTAACAACTTGTAACAAGCTTGATGGCATTAACAGACTTGTTACAAGGTTGTTCTAACAAGTCTGATACAGTCATGGACATGGTATTATAAGAATCAAGAAAGTTGTTACAAGTTGTTAACAACTTGCTCCAAACTTGTTAACAATTTGGGATAAGCAGTGAGATGATAGTTATACATAAAGTGAATACATAAAGTTAATTGTTAAAACAAATTTTTCATACTTGTTTGTTTGACATTCCTTGCCAGGACACATGATCAGAGGCATAAAGGAGGTCGAGGTAACCTAGAAACAAAGTTTTATAAACAACAATTTGAAACAAAAATTTTGTTCCAGATACAAATATAAAGATCGTTTCTTATACCGTGGTGCACGCTGAATCCGCGAGTGTAAAATATACAACAAGTTAATTAAATCTAAAAGGCCTCTAAACAAGCTGACTGTTTGGTCAGTCCCACATCTGTTACATGTACAGTTTATGTTGCTACTGGAAACACTGGGATATATAGGGGGTGCAGGGGTGCACACCCGTCTAGGGTAGCAAGGGGCGCCAATATCCTAAAAAAAATCCTTTTTTATTTGGAAATTAAAGCAATTACAAAAATAAAATATAGACAAAATGAGATAGTAACATGATTGTGAAAGTATCAAGTAAGACTACACAGACTAGCATCTTGCAGCTTCCTCTAGCGATTACGCACTTGGTCAATGGTATCTATCTACCTGCTATCTATTACCTATTTCCTCTTCATACAGTATGTTGCTATACTTGAATCAATTAAGCCCATTCTCCAGTAGGGCGAATTTGTTCGCGCAACTTTTTCTTTGCCGATATCACTTTTGCTGACGTGATAAGCGATGCCGACAAAGAAAAAAGTCGCTTCGCACGAACAAATTCGCCTAGTGGAAAACGGGCTTTAGCAAAGCTACTAACAGTGTTGAAATATACAATGCACAACTTACTGTCCAGATGGTATGATTACACCTATTCTATCACATGTTTTTGTTGCTACCTGAACCACAGGTTTAACTTCTGTTCATCTGTCTATCATATTAGCAAAGCTACTAACAGTGTTGAAATATACAATGCACAATTTACTGTCTGGTATGATTCAGTGCCACACCTATCACATGTATATGTTGCGACCTGAACCACAGGTTTAACTTCTGTTCATCTGTCTATCATATTAGCAAAGCTACTAACAGTGTTGAAATATACATGATTGTACAACTTACTGTCTGGTATGATTCAGTGCCACACCTATCACATGTATATGTTGCAACCTGAACCACAGGTTTAACTTCTGTTCATCTGTCTATCATATTAGCAAAGCTACTAACAGTGTTGAAATATACAATGCACAACTTACTGTCTGGTATGATTCAGTGCCACACCTATCACATGTATATGTTGCGACCTGAACCACAGGTTTAACTTCTGTTCATCTGTCTATCATATTAGCAAAGCTACTAACAGTGTTGAAATATACATGATTGTACAACTTACTGTCTGGTATGATTCAGTGCCACACCTATCACATGTATATGTTGCAACCTGAACCACAGGTTTAACTTCTGTTCATCTGTCTATCATATTAGCAAAGCTACTAACAGTGTTGAAATATACAATGCACAACTTACTGTCTGGTATGATTCAGTGCCACACCTATCACATGTATATGTTGCGACCTGAACCACAGGTTTAACTTCTGTTCATCTGTCTATCATATTAGCAAAGCTACTAACAGTGTTGAAATATACATGATTGTACAACTTACTGTCTGGTATGATTCAGTGCCACACCTATCACATGTATATGTTGCAACCTGAACCACAGGTTTAACTTCTGTTCATCTGTCTATCATATTAGCAAAGCTACTAACAGTGTTGAAATATACAATGCACAACTTACTGTCTGGTATGATTCAGTGCCACACCTATCACATGTATATGTTGCGACCTGAACCACAGGTTTAACTTCTGTTCATCTGTCTATCATATTAGCAAAGCTACTAACAGTGTTGAAATATACATGTACAACTTACTGTCTGGTATGATTCAGTGCCACACCTATCACATGTATATGTTGCGACCTGAACCACAGGCTTCACCTCAGTACATCTTGTTACAATGCCTCGTACACACACCAGTTTTCCAATACTAGAAGCATTCACATCACGCACTGGTAACACATTCTGATTTGAGGGATGTTTGAAATGAACCTCGCTACAGAAATCAAACAAATTTGTTAATCATTAGATAATCTATAGGTAGGGGTGCACCGGATTTGGAATTTTCAAATCCGGCCGTAACCGGATTTACCGGATTTGGACAAAAATTCCGGCCGGAATTCCGGCCGGATTTGAGATAAACCGGTAATGGGGACAATTGGGGATAAATCGGTATTCAAAATGGCGGTTTATGTTTTTTACTATTTTTAGTTAGTGTCAGTTTAGATTTTTGATTGTGTTTAAACCTTTTTAAAATATTTTTTTGCTCATAACTTAAAATTTTATAATATAAGTGTTTTTTAAACTTTAAAGCTGCCAAATTGATGGTTTATCCCATTCTTGGTGAATTTTTAAGGCTAAAACAGAAATTTAAATCCGGCCGGATTTTCTCCAAATCCGGCCAGATTGGAATCCGGTGCACTCCTATCTATAGGCACTTTCACGTTTCAAGAAAGATGTGGCCAGTGCACCATTTTACTGGGGAAAGTCTTAATGGTATATGAAAATAATAAAACATCAGTAGCAGACCCAGGGAGGGGGGGGGGGGCAACTGGCCACCTCCAATAATACACCGATTCAGCAAAAAATCAATGCTGCATGGAAACGAGGCTTAATAGCCCTTGACGCTTGACCATATCCAAGATGGCGGATGAACTAGCAGCCGCAGCTGGGGGAAAAATTGCAGCGAAGAAGAAAAAAATGGGACATAAATGTTGTGCAGCTGCCAATTGTAATTTTCGAAGTGACAATCGTCCTGATTTGTCTTTTCATGAGTTTCCAAAGGATGATTACTTAAAAAAGAAGTGGGAAGTCAAAATGCGAAGAGGAGACGCTACTTTCAAAAACATTGCGAATAAGTTTTGTTGTTCTGCGCATTTTTTGCCATCGGATTTCAAACAGAGTTTAACGGGGCATAGGCGAGATTTAAAGAGAGGAGCAATCCCTTCAGTGTTTAAATGGGCACCAGTAACTAGTGACCCCAGAGGAGAACGTTTAAAATTGCGAAACGAAATGATTGCCAAATCCAAATCTGAACAACAAACCGAGCATGGACCTGACGAGCAGCAACTTGCAGGTTCATCAATATCATCTTATTCATCCGGCAGAAATATGGTTGTTTTTGGCCCTCGAACACTCGAAGAATTTATCAATGAAAAGAAAGAAGAAGCAGAGCAGCTGAAAGCAGAACTTGCTAGAGCCAAGGAGAAAGAATATATTTTTACGTTTGGTCTGGAAAGATTCTCAGGTAGTAATGAGGACATAAACTTTTACACAGGATTTCCTGACTATCAAACGCTGATAGAATTCTGGAAATACATAGAACCTAATAGTTCTAGATTAACATACTACAGTTATCTTAAGAATTCCACTGATGTTAACTTTAACAATGCATTTCCATACCTTAATTTAACTGAAAAAAAGTTTCCTGGTAGTAGTGTAGGTGCCCAACGCAGTCTTCAGCCTATAGATGAGTTTTGGCTTTTCCTAACTCGACTCAGAGTGGGTCTGTTAGAGCGTGACTTGGCTTTCAGGTTTAATATCTCTGTGCCAACAGTATCAGACATAATTATAACTTGGAGTAACTACATGTATATAATGCTTGGGAGCTTGCCAGTATGGACTTCAAGGGAAGTAATTAAGTTACACCTACCTGAAGCCTTTAGAGGGCGATTTGAAAATGTAAGGTGCATCATAGACTGCACAGAGGTTAAGTGTGAAAAACCCCAAGATCTTCAGAAGCAAAGTGAATTTTATTCTGAGTACAAAGCACACAATACTTATAAGGGATTGGTAGGCATATCTCCTAATGTTTGGGTTACATTTGTAAGCAACCTGTATGGAGGTAGCATATCTGACAGAGAAATTGTGGAGAAAAGTCACTTTATTGATCTGTTAGAACACCCTGATGTAATTATGGCAGATCGTGGCTTTGAGATACAGGATATTTTAGCAACCAAACAAGTGAGACTGTTCATCCCACCAAAGAGGCAGTCCAAAATGGATCAGTTTTCAAAAGAGGATTGCTTTGAGACAATGAGAATTGCTAATGTTAGAATACACATA